GTCAGCTGTTCAGACTAAAACACTAAAGGAATCTACACTATCATGTATCCAACAAATGACTGTCCAGCCTCTGCTCAAAGACCTTCAAGGAGGGTCTAGAGGTAGCTCATTCCCCTTTTTTGGTGTTGTTGAGTCATTTTCAATTGTGTCTGACTCTCCATGACCCAATTTTGGGTTTTTCTTGGCAAAGATACTGGAGTGGTTTGCCATTTCCTCCTCCAGCTCCTTTTACAGATGAGGAAACTGAGGCAAACAGGGTTAAGTGACTTGCCCATCGTCACACAGCTAGTAAGTGTCTGAGGTCAGATTTGAACTCAGGTCCTCCTAACTCCATATTCTGCACTCTATCCGCTGCACTACCTAGCTATTCCCATTCCACTTTTAGTTGGCTCTAATTAGGAAATGTTAGGAAATTTCCCCTGACATCTAGCCTAAATTTACTTCTTTTCAACTTCTACCAGTTGCTCCTGGTTCTGTTTTCTGGGACTAAACAGAAGAAATCTAACTCCTCCTTAATTTGGCAACCTTCAAATACTTACATTCTCTCTAAGCCCTCTCTTCTCTAGGCTGAATATACCCAGTTCTATCAAGTAATCCTCATATGATATAGACTCAAGACTCTTCACTATCCTGGTTGCCCTCCTCTAAGCACTTTCCAACTTATAGGATCATAGATTTAGAGCTAGAGGCCATTAAGTCCATTATCTCCCTCTTTTGACACATATGGAAACTGAGGCCGAGAGAGGTTAAATGACTTACCTAGGGTCATACAAGCAGTCAATGTCAGAGGGAGGAGTTCATCCCAGGTCTCCTGACTTCAGAGCCAATGACCTTGCCATAGTATCACGTTGTCTCCTACATCCTTCTTAAACTGTAGTGCCTAGAACTGAACAGAATACTCCAAATGAGGTCTGACATGGGCATAGGCCCTATCACCTCTCTGTTCCTAGGGAATGTGGCACAGGATCACATTAACATTTTTGGCTGCCACATCACATTCATATTGAGATTGAAGTCCACTAAAGTCCTCAGATCTTTTCCAGATCTGCTGTATAACTATGCCTTTCCCATCTCATTTCTGTAAAATTGATTTTTTTGAGGTAGACAGGAGGCACTGCAGATGAACCAGAGTCAGGAAGACCTAAGTTCAAATCCAGCTTCAGACACTTATTAGCAATGTAACCCTGGGTGAGTCACTTAACTGTTGTTTGCCTCAGTTTCCTCATCTGTAAAATGGGGATAACAACAGCACCTACCTTACAAAGTTATAAGGATCAAATGAGATGATATTTGTAAAGCACTTATCATGGCTCTTGACACCTAGTAGGTGCTATATAAATGCTTATTCTCTTTTCTTATACTCAAGTGTAAGACTTCACGTTTATCCCTACTGAATTCCATCTTCTTAGATTCAGCTCACTGCTGTAGCCTGTGAAGATCCTTTAGGATTTTAACTTTGTCATGCACTGTGTTAATGATCCTTCCTAGCTCTGTGTCATCTGCAAATTTGATTAGCATGCCATCTAATCCCTTCTCCAAGTCATTGATAAAGGTGTTTAATGTCACAGGTATAGTACAGTTCCCTGAGGTGCTTTATTGGCAATCTCCTGCTACATTGATATTGAACCATTAACAACTGATCTTGGAGTCCAAATACCCAGCCTGGTCTAAATCCATCTGCTTGCTTTGTGGTCTAATCCATATTTCTCCATCTTCTCCACAAAAACAATAATATGATACTTTGTCAAAATGTTTGCTAAAATTGAAGTAAATTATATCTCTAGAGCATCTACTAGGTTAGCAATTCTGCCAAACAGGGAAATGAGATTATTCTGGCATGACCTGTTCTTGATTAAGCCTTGTAGGTTCTTTGTAATTACTAATTCCCTTGGTAGATATCTACTATAATTGTTTTGTCAATTAGTCATGTCCAATTCTTCATAACCCCATGTGGGGTTTTCTTGGCAAAGATACTGAAATGGTTTGCTATTTCCTTCTCCAACTCATTTTACAGATGAGGAAATTGAGGCAAACAGGGTTAAGTGATTTGTTCAGGGTCACACAGCTAAAAAGTGTCTTGAGGTAAGATCTGAACTCAGGTCTTCCTGACTCCAGGTCTTGAATATTCCCCAAATAACTATTTAATATCTGTCCTAGAATTTTCCCAGGAAGCCGAGTCAAACTCACAGTGACCAGGTTATAGTTTACATATACTGTTCTCTTCTCTTCTTTGAAAACTGGGACATATGCCCATATCTCTTCTTGTGGTCCTAGTCCCATTTCCCATGACCTTTCAAATCTCATTGACAGTAATTCATCAATCACATCTGTCTGTTCTTTTAATACCCTATGATGTAGTTCATCTGGGTCAGATGCCTTGAACTCAACAAGGACAGCTAGTTGCTGTCATTCTCTCCTTTCTTATCTTGAACATTAACTCTATTAGTCACATTTGTTCTATTATTTACAATACAAAGATAATTTTCCCCAGTAGAGAAATAAGAAATAAAAGAAAGAATTTCGCTCTTCTACCTTCTTTTTTTTCAAATATCACTGTATCATCTACTTCCAACAAAGATCCTATCCCTCCATTGAGCCCTCTTTTCTTTTAATATAGTTTAAAAAAAAAACAAACAAAAACCCCTTTCTTTTGTTTGGAGCTCACCAGTCTCAGCTCCTCCTAAGCTTTAGCATTCCTAATACAACTTTTACAGGACTATGCCATGCTCTTGAATTCAGCTATTATTCTTCACCTTGCTTTCATCTTCCATAACATTTCTTTTATTAAATTTATATTGGATGGTGAGGTGTCTGTGTATCCACTTTGTTCTCTTCAGATAGATCCCATTTTCACCTTCATTGTAACTGTGTGCATACACACTAATCTGTATATATGCTGCTCCCCAGTAATAATAATAATGATAATAATAATAACTAATATTTATAGAGCACTTACTATGCTAAGAGCATCACAATTATTAGAATATGAGCTCCTTGAAGGCAGGAACTGTTTCATTTTTCTCTTTGTGAACCCACTGTCTAATACAAGCCTTTTTCAACTGTTTTCCACTTACTATCCCTTTTTAAGTATATGGGTTAAACTCACAGTTTAAGAAGTGCTGGTCTAGTATAGTGTCTGGCATGTAGTAAGTATTTAATAAAAATTTAAGTGAATTGAATAAATACAACTACTTGAAGCCTCCAGACTTGCTTAGATTTCTCCCACCCAGAATGTCTGCCTCCTACTTCTCCGCCTATTAAAATCCTTGTTATTGTTGCTGTTCAGTCATTCCAATCGTGACTCTTCCTGATTCTATTTATAGTTTTCTTGGCAAAGATACTGGAGGGGTTTGCCATTTCCTTCTCCAGCACTTTTTACAGATGAGGAAACTGAGGCAAACAGGGTTAAGTGACTTGCCCAGGATCACACAGCTAATAAATGTCTGAGGCTCTATTTGAAGTCAAAAAGAAGAGCCTTCCTGACTCTGGGCCCAATGCTCTACCCACTTTGCCACCCAACTGTCCCACATGAAAAATCTTACCTCGTCTTAAAATTCAAATCTGGCGGTTGTAGCCTAGTGTTCTCTCTCTCCTTAGAAAATCTAAGCATAAATGTATTTTCCAGTCATTTGATACTTAAATATTCAATAAAAAAATTCACATCAACAAACATTTATTAAACTGTCATTATGTTCTAAGCCTGGTATTTTGCTGAGTCTTGCACATATACTATCTTGAGGTATGATGGTAAAAGCACTGGATTCAGAGCCTGAGGACGTGGGTTTGAATCTTGGCTTTGCAACTAATAACTCATAAGATGCTGGGCAAGTCACTCTCTGAGTTTCAGTTTTCTCATATGTAAAATGAGAGCATTAGGTGTGATATTTTCTAAGGTCTGTTCCAGTCCTAAATCTTATGATCCCTTAATTGTTGTCTTGTATGGAAAGGGAATGGAATTCTGTGATTTCATTGCCATTGGAAACTTCCAGGGGAAGAAACTTCCTCTACCAATGCAAGTCAGCGACTTCCTTGCAACTTACATTCTTAGAGAATTGCCTAGAGCACTGAGAGGTTAAGTACTTGACCAGGGTCATACAACCAATATTTGTTAGAGGTAGGACTGGAACAGAGGTCTTCTCAGCTTTGAGGCTAATTCTGTATCAACTGTATCATGCTCCCTCATTGCTGTTATACTGTTATTTAATTTTCTCCAGTAGTATTTTCTTTCTACCCAACCTGTTACTTCTAAGAAGGCTGTGTATTATCATATTGTATATACCCAATAATGTTCAGTCGCTTCAGTCATGTCTGACTCTTCATAACCCTATTTGGGGTTTTCTTGGCAAAGATACTGGAGTGGTTTCCATTTCCTTCTCAAGTTCATTTTATGGATGAGGAAACTGAGGCAAACAGAGTCAAGCGACTTGCCCAGTAAGTATCTGAAGCTGGATTTGAACTCATGAAGATGTCTTCCTGACTCCAGGCCCAGTGCTTGATTCACTGTCCATGCATATATCCAGACCACCTAGTTAAGTGTTATTTAAATAGTGGACACTCAGTAAATATTTGGGTTCATAGATTTGGAGCTGGAAGGAACATAAGAGAACATTTAGTCCAACTCTTTTATTTTACAGATGAGAAAACTGAGGGCCAGAGAAGTTGTGACTTACCCAAGGTCACACAGGTACTAAACCAGAGAACCAGCATTCAAACCAAGTCCTTTTACTCCAAATCCAATATCCTTTCCACTCCACCACACCCAAATGAGGTTGACTTAAATAAAGAACTACTGAAACAAATGTACTCCCTAGAGTTAAGACAATTCATTGTACTTTAAGAGACTATTAGAATTCAAAAAGAAAATAATTTATATTTTATACAAAGAATATATATGAATACATGTACATAGACAACCATATGTATCTATATACATATATATACATATGTATATATATTTCCCCAAGACCCCAACTGGGTAGCATCATACTTTGCCTTTACCTTTACCCCTAGATTGGAATAGGAATATTGTAGCTATTAGAAAAGTGATTCAAGCTCACTATTCATTATTATTTCACCCTAAAACTATAAGCTTCTCTTTATTTGCTGGGGTTTAATTTTTTCCCAATGCTTTATTTGCCACTTGTGGACCGCAGCTTCAAAGAAAGCCAAAGAGGGAGAGAGAATCAAACAAATTAAATATCAAATAACCCTTTTTAGGTCAAGCAACAATACTATCCATTCTTACAGGATGAAGAAAACCAACTGACTTTTAGGATAGCTAGATATTCTGACAATTCACTTCTTATTTAAGAGGTAATTTATTAATTAAAGTTACAGTTCCTAAAAATGAAATACAAATGAATTAGTGCCCTAAAATCTAAAATCCTCTACCAATCTTTGAGTCTTTTTGTCAAATGCATTCAAGCAAAGACATTGTTAGAGGTGATCTCCTTCTATGGGCTTTATCCATGAACACTTGGACACATAATTTGTCCAAACATCTTTTATCTCAATATTGACTCTAGAGGCCTCAATAATACAGTCTTTCCGCTGGTAGGCAGGAGGTGGTGGACTACAGGTATGGAATCTTACATATACTTTCAGCTGAAGTTACTGTATTAGACCATTTTGCTTACCTGTTCTTGGTGGTGTTTTTGTTTTTGTTTTTTTAATAATGGAGGGTTTTGTAATATTGTCAGTACTGAGAAGTGATTGTGGTACAAAAAACCAAACTGCATCAATAAAGCCTTTTCAAAAATCTTTATTGCTTTATAATCATTTGCTAGTCATTTCATATATTGTCTATGTCTA